CAGTGACGGGGAGCTCACTCACTGCTTCATAACAAGGACAACAATTATCGCTGATGGAGCATGCTCTATGTCAGCCACAGTGCTAACCCTTCACCTACATTGTCTCATTGAACCCTGATAGGAAACCCAGAGAGGAAACTTGGAGTTGGCAAGGTTCAGAGCTTTTCCCACGGTCACGTGCTAGTAAGTAGCCAGCAAGGGCCACACTGGAGCCCCCACTGGCTCACTCAGAACATCTGAGTCTGGCTAATTCAGAAACCTGAGCCCTTCCCCCTTACCTGGTGCTGATCCACAAGGCAGAGCATGTCAGTGAAGAGCCCATGTGGGGGCCACAAACCTTTTCCTATTCTGCCCCTTACTTCCTGGATCACCCTCCCCTTAGTGCCCAGACTCACTCCCCAGAGTGGGAGGAGGGGAGCCTGCAGATGTGTGAGGGCTGCCTTGGTGCGGGAGGACCCTGTGAAGCCAGGCCCCGTGTTAGGCAGAGAGCATGGCTTGCTTGGGGCCTGCTGAGTGGACCTCATCTTGTCCCAGGAGCTGAGGGATTCTCCACGGGCTGTGAGCAGGAAGGAGGAGGAGGAGGCTTCCTTGGCCCTCCGGCCCTTGGCCAAGCTTGGTGGGGGGCCCACAGTTCCTTTCCCAGTCTGTTCTCCCTCGGTCACCAAGAGGGACACATGGCCAACATTTTTCAGTTCTAATTCCAGAGCCTAAGAAGAAAGCATCCAATGGTACAGAGGCCCAGATGTCCACCTCTGCTCTGGCTCCCCCCGGCCCTGGACCACTGCTGGAGGGAGGGGTGACTGAGGGAGCAATTCTCCAAGAAGGCCAGCCTGTGGGCTGGGAAGCCCTTCAAAAACATGTCTGCTGCCCCAGGCTGTTCGAATTTGGGGTGGTGCTGCTGGGAGCCATGGGGACACACTCCAAGGGCACCTCACCTGGCTGGAGCATGCAGGGGTCTTCCTTGACGAGATGGCATCTAAAGGAGTCCTGGGGATGAGCAGGAGTTGGCCAGGCCAAGGTGGGGAGGGGGCATGCTCTGAGCAGAGGCACAGAACGTGCATAGCCCTGGGGGGAGCAGGATGGGCCGCTGGAGAATCGGGTGGGTTCCATTTGGGAGAAGCCCAAGCCCAGGGTGTGCATGGGGAGCGGGGGAGAGCAGGCTGGAGGGGCTGGCGGCCCGACTAAGTGCGGAGCAGTTCTCAGTGTGGGAGTTTCTTTGGCCAAAGCAGCTGGGGCTGGGTTGCCTGACGCTGCGCCAGAGGTGAGAGGCGGCGCGGGAATGTTCGCACAAACTTTGAGAACATCTGGAGTCAGCAAAGTGCCCTGAGACTGAGGGGGTGGGGCCGGAGACAGAGCAGGGCAGAGGGCCCCATTCTAGCACCACCTCTGCAGACCCCGAGCCTTTCTCAACCATTTTTGTTTCTGATTTTGAAAGTGATTCCATGCAGAAGATCTGCGTGGAAAATGGACAAAGAAGAAAACAGGAACGAATCAACGCTCATAACTCTTTGGCTCTGTCTGCTTCCAGCCCCCGTGGCCTTTCTGTTCTTGGCACAAGCCACATTTGTTCTGCCCTCAGGGCCTTTGCACAGGAGGTTCCCTCTGCCTGGAGTGCTCTTCCCACAGCCCTCTGCGCAGCTGCCACCTTCGGGCCTCGGGGACTCGGCCTCCCCGATCCCCCTCCCTGGAGCTCTCCCTCCTCCCCCTCTGCCTTCTCTCTTGGCTTCTGCTTTATTTTCTTCAAAGTTTGTATGCACACTGGAAACCGGCTTGCTCATTTCTTTCTCGTACTTGCTTGCCTCTCTTCCCCCAGGCCCGAGGATCAGCTCCTGGGGAGCAGGGACCTCACCCTCTCCAATCTCTAAGTCAGAGCCTGGCACAAAGGGTGGTGGTCAATAAATGTGAGTTGAGTGAAAATATAATCCCACCACCAAATGAGTCACTTGAGTCCTTGAATGGATTTCCTGCAGCATGGGCTTTCTAGAGTTCACTCCAAACAGCCCCTGGTGCTGAGAGGTGATTTTAAAGGGATCCAGAGAGGGGAACTGGATGGGGTCAGAAGATCAGGAAAATTCCACCAGTGGATGGGATTTCAGCCTGACCTGGTTGGATACAGAGGGTTCCCAGTGGGTAAAAAGGGAGATGGATAGGGAACTCAGCCTGGGCGAAGAACATTTGCATTCGTTCCCTAGAGCTGCCATCAACGAAGTACCATAAACTGAGCGGCGGACACAACAGAAATGGGTTGTCTCATAGTTCTGGAGGCTGGAAGTCCAAGACCAATGTGCTGGCACGGCCATGCTCCCTCAGAAGGCTCTGGGGAAGGTTCTCACCTGTATCCCAGCTTCTGGTAGTTCCTTGGCTGGTGGCAGCATGACTCCAGTCTTTACCTGGCTGTGTTCCTGGGTACACGTGTGGCTCGTATCCAAACGTCCCCCTTTTTATAAGGACGTCGGTCATCTTGGATTAGGGCCCACCTCAATGACTGCATTTTAATTTAATTACCTCTGTAAGGACCGTGTCTTCAAATAAGATCACATTCTGAGATACCGGGGGTTAGGGTTTCAGCATGTCTCTTTTGGGGGACAAAATTCAACCCATTAAAACCTTCCAGGACATAGGAGGGGTGTCAGAGTAAAGACCAAGGTACTCAGTGGTGGCTGCAGCATAGAGCCCATGAAATGAGCCATGTACTGTAAGGCCAGAGCAGGAGTCGGAGCCAGAGGGAGACCTGGGAATGCGAGGCTGGGTCCATACTGATTGGGTGGTCAGAGCATGTATTGATCAGATATATGTGTCAGGCCCTGTGTGAGGGGAATCATTGGTGAGCAGAAAAGAAAAGATTCAACCTTGAGGAGCTGACAGTCATGGGAGGAATTCAGATACTAAGACAATTTATCCCACAAATAAGTATGATTACACATCTAGATTAAATAGATTACAGCAGAGTTAGGTATAGGAGGGCGAGGCACATGATCTCTGATGGTTTATGACAGGGGTCCTGACCAAGTTGCTGACAAAATGACACCTTGACAATGATGTGAAGGCTGAGCAAGAGTTTACGAGGGGAAAGGCGAGAGGCGCATTCCTGGCAAAGGGCCAGCTTGTGCAAAGGGCCTGGGGCCAGAAGGGAGCACGGCCTCTTTGGGGGACATGGAGATTCCGGTGTGGCTTGAGATTAGACAGTGAGGAGGCTGTAGGTAGACAGAACCTCCTTAACCACGGTAAGGACCTAGGGCTCTATCGTGGGAGCCATGAGATGCCTTTGAAAATTTTAGGCAAGGGGTAATGGGGTCACATTTACCTATCTGAAAGACCACTGGGGAGCTACCAAAATTTTCTGAGCTAGAGGATGCCAGCCATCAAGCTAGTATTTCTGAGAGGTTCTTACATGTTTTTCTAGAGCAGGAGCTTATCTTGGGGTCCACGGACTCCCAAGTGTCCATGGGTAGATTTCAGGGGGGCCTAAACCTGAATGAGTTCACTCCTTTTCATCAGCCTCTAACTAAAATGCCCTGTATGAATTCCTTCCATTATGAATTAAGACAACAAAGCAATGATATCGTAGTGTCTGCAGCTTTTCCAACAGTAGAAATCAGATATTCTCAGGATATCACGAAATACTATTTATGCTCATCAGTACTTTGAAACTATGATATTCATTAGATTTTATTTAATGAGTTTACAAAGAATCACATATATTGCTATCTCTTAGATTATTTTAATGCTTTGATAACCGTGCTCTCACGTAGCTAGGTTCCTTGGTAACCCGATGTATTTTATTTTATGCACTTAGAAACATGATTCCAAGCGGTGTCCCATGTTTCCCCAGAATGACTAGGCGGCACAAGGAATGTTGAGGACCCATGGTTTAGCCTAACTTATTTATGTCCAAAGTTAGGGTAGAGAAATAACTGGCTCGATGACAAAGAAGACGGTGACGCCATAAATTCAGTTTGGACGTCCTCAGGAGTCCTTTTCTCTCTGTCCTGGACTCTACTTGTGTCTGAATCGCCTCCTTCTCAGGCACGCCGTGGCCACGCTGCACCTGCCACGACCCCACAGCCCTGGGTTTAAACTGCCCTTTACACCAGGAATCCAACAACAAAGACAGGTGGCCTTAAACTGGTAGATTTTGTGAAACTCTCAGAGATGGGGCTCATTGGCTGGCACGGGTCATGTGTCTCTGAACCAATCGTCGTGGTGAGGAAGATGTGCTCTGATTGGCTTATTTGGGGCACGTGTCCATCCGGAAGGATGAGGTATTCTGATTGGCCTATCTGGGTCATGTGCTCATCCTGAAAGCTGAAGGATGAGGTATTCTGATTGGCTTATCTGGCTCACGTGCCCATCCGGGCCTCAAGCAGTGCGTGGTAGGCATCCCGGCTAGTACCGTCCCTGGCGCGAGAGCTGGGCGGGCAGGCGAAGGTGCTCTACCTCTTTGCCCCACAGTTTGGTGTCAACGCCGTGCATCTCCCATCCTTGTGTAGTGGGAGTCGGGGACTGCAGTCAGGCTGGCTGAGGCTCCTCAGGGTCTAGGGCCTTAGGGCTCCCCCGTTCCTGCAGGGAAACAGGACTCCTGCCCGAATGACAGCAGCCGGTGCTCCTCCAGCGCTTTTGCTAAGCACACCTGTTTATTTTCACAATCCCTTTACCTGGCTCAACAACCCGAACAGGGGGATCCTGTTAACGTCATGGTGCCCATGAGTCATGGAACTTGCCCAAGCCACGCAGTTGGAACCCCAGGCCCAGGTCTTCCACCCAATCTGTGCTGCTGCTCCCGCCTGCCCGCTGACCTTAGTTAGGCAAGGTCTGCTCTGTCCCCGGCAACGCCTCCATGTAGAACCCGATAGCTGGACTACCACGTTTGGAGGGCGTAGGGGTGGAGCTGGGAAGGGCTTTAGGGATGAGAGGTCAAGTCTGGGGAGGTGAGGTCTTTGCCAAGGCGGCTTGGCCTGGAGCTTCTCTGCTTCCTTCCCCAGGGCTGACCTCGCAGCAGCCGTGCGCACAGGGGTCATCTGACTGCAGGAAGCAGTGTGATCCCGACTACTACCTGGACAGGGACGGCCGCTGCAAGGCCTGTGTGACCTGTTCTGGAGGTAAGGGCCTTGTTCTCCCCTCCAGGGGCAGCTTCGGGGGAGGGGAGGCCTTTTGGGGGGGGAGTAGGCAGAGAAGGTGGGGAGCATCAGGATTTGGTGCCTGGACTCTGAGTTGGCCCCCTGGTGCCTCAGTTTACCCCTCTGAATTTGTGAATTGATATCAGCCATGAATTTTGCATCCGTTTTTAGAGAGACTTCCTTAACATGTTTCTTCAAGGGAGGAACTCACATTTATTGAGTTTAATCTTCACAAAACCCCTTTGAGATTTTTTTTTTTCTTTTTTTAAAGTAATCTCTCTGCCCAACTTGGGGCTCAAACCCATGTCCCTGAGATGAAGAGTCGCATGCTCTACAGACTGAGCCAGCCAGGGCGGGGGGTGGGGGAGGAAAGTCTTTTCTTATCCCTGCTTTACAGTGAGGAAACCCAGACTTAGGCAGGTCAAGGGCCTTGCCAAAGTTAAAAAGTCTGGTAAGTGGCAGATCTGGAGTTTGAGCTGTCTGTCTGACACCAAGAGCTGTGTTCTTTACCTAAGACCACAAGTGCTCCAGGAGGAGGCTTCCCATAGCACTTTCACTGTCAATTTCTTATTATAGTTCTTGAATGTGGTTTGTGTGCTCTCTGGTGTTTGTTTTGTCTTGTGTGGGTTTTTTGTGGGGTGGGGTTGGGAAATTTGTTGAGATTTCTTGCACCCTAATGTTCATATTTTTAAACCATGTTTAGTGTGTTTGGGGAAAAAAAATGTGTGTTCTGTTTGTTAGGTACAAAATTCTCTATATACCTATCAGATCAAGCTTGTTAATTGTGTTATTTTAATAATATGCATTCTTTCAAAATGATTTTTTAAGTTTATTTATTTAAGGAATCTCCGCACCCAACGTGGGGCTCGAACTCACGACCCCAAGATTAAGAATCACATGCTCTATCGACTGAGCCAGCTAAGTCCCCCGAAATAATATGCATTCTTTATTTTTGCATTCTTATTTTTGTCACCTTCCCAAAGGTTGACGTCTGAGATAGATGTGTAAAATCTATCTCCCCTGTGCTTGTTTTTCATCAGATGTTCATTGTGTTCTGTTTATTTTTCCTCTCTATGTGTCAAAGCTGTTATTAGGTACAATGTTCATGAATACTGTGTTTTCTTGGTGTGTTGGACCTTTCACCAGCATGAAATATACCTCTTTGCTCCTTACAGTGTATTTGCCTTAATTCCATTTTGTTTGATATTAATATTGCCATTCTTCTTTGTCTGTGTTAGCATTTCTTTGGTATATCTTTAAGTTTTTAAAATTAGTGACTGCATTGTATTAAATGAAAGTTATAGGCATTCATTATAAAACATTCAAGCAATACATAAGTGTGAGGAAGAAAGCTAGCTCTGCCCCCTTCCCCCTCGTTGGATGTCTGACTGACACTTCTCTGTATCTCTGTATAGAGGGAAGAATGGGAATGTTCGCAGCCAGAGAGGGAGGGGCAGAGGGAGAGGGAGAAGCAGACTCCTCGCTGAGCAGGGAGCCCAAGGTGGGCCTCGATCCCAGGACCTGAGACCTGTACTGAAGGCAGCCGCTCAACCAACCAGGCACCCAGGCACCCTGAGAAAAGGGATTTTTAAGAGGATGGGATCATACTGTTTATGACGTTCAAGTGATTACATTTAATTTTATTCAAATGTATCAGAGAAGGAAGAAACTAAAGTGAAAATAAAACAATCACAAGAGAGCAGTTTGTAAAAATAAAACCCTCTAAAATTAAGAAGAGGCTATGAAAATCAAGAAGCAGTTAGAAATCATTAAAGGAATAACTATCTCTTGTGGTAAAATCATGTTCTGCTTGTTTCAGTTTTTGGATGGGATAGAGTAGATTGGCTTCCTGTAATGAAAAATGAAGTAATTAGCTTGCTGCCTCCTTATCCTCTTCCTGACTTTTATTACTTACTTACATTTTTTTTTACTTTGTTATTGCCTATGGTGTTTATATTCTTTTCTGTAACCTTCAGTCCCTTGGCCTGTTAGCTTTACTTTGCTATTTAAACTTACTCATTGTGCACTATGAGTACATTAAACACAGCTTCTCTGTTCCTGAATTTTTCATTTTGATTTATGTCTTGATTGGTTAGATTTCACTGATCTGTACCTGTACCTTTTTTTTTTTTTTTTTAAGATTTTATTTATTTATTTGTCAGAGAGAGAGTGCACAAGCAGGGGAAGTGGCAGGCAGAGGGGGAAGAAGGCTCCCCGTTGAGCAAGGAGCCCAATGTGGGACTCATTCCCAGGACCCTGGGATCATGACCTGAGCTGAAGGCAGGTGCTTAGCCAACTGAGCCACCCAGGCGTCCCACTGAATTTATATTCTTTTTTTTTTTTTTTAAAGATTTTATTTATTTGACAGAGACAGCGAGAGCAGGAACACAAGCAGGGGGAGTGGGAGAGGGAGAAGCAGGCTTCCCGCCGAGCAGGGAGCCCGATGTGGGACTCGATCCCAGGACTCCGGGATCATGACCTGAGCCGAAGGCAGATGCTTAACGACTAAGCCACCCAGGCGCCCTGAATTTATATTCTTATTAACTTCTTTTATAGTGTGAAGCACTCTTGGGATTGCTTCTGTTTTAGAGTGGGTTCTTTATCTTTCCAAAATGTATTTCTGTCTCTTTTAGATCTTTCTTTTTCTTTTTCTGTCTTCCCTTCTCCCTCCCTTCCTTCTTTACTGCTATAGTGTGTCTGCACTTCTCTATTTTTGCTTAAACTTAGCAGGGGCAGCAGCTCTGTTACTGCCTTCTTTCTGCCCTGATACAGTGTGACTTCTCCTTTACACCCACCCCACCTCACTGGGCTCTGGTTTGTCTTTTCTGCTCAGAGCTTCAGCTGGGGGCTGAGCGTTCCTTTTCAAAAATATTGTGGTAAAATGTACATAACATAAAATTGATCATTGTAACCATTTTTTAAAAAGATTTTATTTATAAAAGAGAGAGAGGGAGAAGCAGGCTTCCCGTGGAGCAGGGAGTCCAACATGGACTCCATCCCAGGACCCCGGGATCATGACCTAAACTGAAGGCAGATGCTTAACCGACTGAGCCACCCAGGTGCCTGATCATTGTAACCATTTTAAGTGTACTGTTCAGCGGCATCAAGTGCATTCACATTTTTGGCAACACTCTCACCATTTCCCAGCTCCAGAACTTGTTCATTTGCCCCAGCTATAACTCTGTCCCCGTTGAACAGTAGCTCCCTAGCACGGTGCCCCCAGCCTTTGGCAATTACCATTCTACTCTCTGTGAATTTGACTACTCTAGGAAGTTCATATAAGTAGAATCCTAAAATATTTATCTTTTGTGACTGCCTTATTTCCCTGAGCATCATGTCTTCAAGACATTGTAGCAGGCCTCAGGCTAATACACCATTGGATGGATCGACGACATTTTGTTTATCCATTCCTGCTGATGAACACTGTAGTGCTTCTCCCTTTTAGCTGTTGTGAATAGTGCTGCAGTATACGTACGTCGACCAATAATCTGTTCAGGTCCCTGCTTTCAGTTCTTTTGGGGTATATACTTAGCAGTGGAATTGTTGGGTCATGTGGTCATCCTGTTTAATTTTTTGAGGAATCCCGAATATTACTTTTGAAACTGATTTTAGGAGCCGGAGGGCCTGGGTGGGAGGCAGAGTGCAGCCAGAGATGGGCGTCGTCCTTGCTGGGGAAGGGATCTGCCTTCCCTTCCATCAGAGGCGTTACCAGAGCTCCTGCTACCCGAAAAGAGGTGTACCCCACTCCCGGGGCCTCTGCTCATTTCCACTGGGCCTGCCTTCCTGAAAGCAAGTCCAGCAGCCTTTCCCACCTTTGCCCAGGCCTGAGATACTATGTTTGGGCTGCTACTCTAAGGGCTTTTTCCTTGAATTTTCCAGGGATGTCTACTGTTTGCCCTCAGTCTGCCTCTCCCTTAGATTTTCTAGAATTCTCAGGACTTTATTCTCTGCTCAGTACTGCTCCTGGGGTGCAGGCGAGAGTTAGGGGCTACTCCTGGGCCACTACAGCTAGGAAGAGAGAGATGAGAGAGCCTCATGAGATGGTTTTAGGGGCCAGGCCTGGGAGAAACGCCTGTCATTTTTGTCCACATCTCATTGGCTAGAATCCTGTCACATGATCCAAACCCAACTGCGAGGGAGGCTGGGAAATGTAGTCTTTCTGTGGGCCAACATGAAATGAATGGGTAAATACAGCGTTGTGCTCCAGCGGATTCTTTTTTTATGGCTTCGATTTCCTTTCTCTCCTTCCTTGAGCTCCAGGGGATTCCGTTTTATAGCTGCAAGTTTCTGAGACTATTAATTGTACTGATTCTAACGGCTTGTTCTGTGGTTTTTGTTTTTGTTTTCTTTTTCTTTTTTTTAATCTGCTCTTTCTAGAGTTCGTTCTTTTTGAGTTTGGAGCTCTTTTTTCTTGGTGCTGGTTTTCTCTCGTGTTTGGTGACGCTTCTGCACACATTGTATCTGATCACTGGGGTAGGGGAATGTGTTCTTTAGTGGCTGATCTTCTGGGTCTGCAGGGTCCCTTCCTCCCACATAGGACCAGCCCTGGGGCACTGTCTCGCTCACCTCACCCAAGAGTCTCCTGCGGGAGATGCTTGGCTTCTGGATCTGTGGCATAAGTGGATGAGAAGCGTGGGGAGACTGACCCAGCTGGGTGCTCCTGCTGCAGTCCCTATCGGCTTCCCTGGGGCCTGCCCGTGCCCTGTACCCACTGGGAGACTGGAGTAACCCCCACCCCCCACCCCCCACCGAGCCTCTCCCAGAAGAACCCTCTTGGGTATATTTTGGGCTGAAGGCTTTGGTCTTCTTCTTCCATGCAACCCCACCTGCCTTCTGTGTTTCAGGAAGCCTTCGCCATTTCTGGTTGACCAAGGATGCCTTGTGTAGCTTTCCACGAATGTTTGCATTTGCCGATTACTTATACCAGTGATTTTTTTTTTTCTCTTGAGATAAAATACACCATTTTATTTATTTATTTTTAAAAATTAAGTTACTTATTTATTCTTGCAAGTAAGCTCTACGCCCAACATGGGATTTGAACTCACGACCCTGAGATCGAGAGTGGTGAGCTCTACCGACTCAGCCAGCCAGGCGCCCCTAAAATTCACCATTTTAAAGTGTGCAATACAGTGGCTTTATTGTATTCACAATATGCAGCCACCACCACTATCTGACTTCAGAAAATTTCCACCTCCCCCAAAAGAAATCCCTATCCTCCCAATTCTCCTCCCATTCCACTCCCTTCCAGTCGCGACTCTACATTCTATCTGTGTGGATTTGCCTACTTTGGACCTTTCAAAGCCATTAATATATGGCTTTTAGTGACTGGCTTCTTTCACTTTGCAGTGTTTTCAAGGTTCATCCATGTTGTAACACGGGTTCTTTCTTTTTGTGGCTGAATAATATCGCATTGTATGGATAGACCACATTTTGTTTATCCGTTCATCGGTTGATGGACATTTGGGTTGTTTCTACTTTTTGGCTATTACGAGCAATACTGACATGAATATTAGGTTTAGGATCCTCCTCCCAAACCCCTGGCAGCCTCTGATCTTTTTAATGTCTCTATAGTCTGGTCTTTTCCAGAATGTCACAGAGTTGGAATCACACGGCATGTAGCCTTTTCAGACTGGTTTCTTTCATGTAGCAATATGCATTTAAGTGTTCCCCATGTCTTTTTTTTTTTTTTGGCCCATTTTAAAATGGGGGCATTAATTTCTTTTTAATATGATTGTACTGACGTCCGGGGATCTGGGCGGGGAAGTGGAGGCTGCCTCATTGGCCCCGCCTGGCTTCTTGCCCCCATTGCAGGAACACTCTGGAAAGAAGGGCTGAGCATGCCAGCTCCCCCCCAATGGGAGGCCAAGGCGGCATCTTCTGTCACGTGCCAAACTGGCTCTGAGGGTTCTCTAGCTCCCTTCCCCGTCCTCCCCCTGTGCCCTGTGACCCTTCTTTGTGTCCCTTAGATGATCTTGTGGAGAAGGTGCCGTGCTCAGGGAACTCCTCCCGCGTCTGTGAGTGCCGGCCTGGCATGTTCTGTGCCACATCAGCTGTCAACACCTGTGCCCGCTGCATCCCCCACTCCGTCTGCCCCACAGGGATGGTCGTCAGGTTCCGGGGTAAGTATCCCCACCCTCAGCCCAGCACCAAGATCTGGGCCCAGCTGCACCCCTCCCCCGCCACTGCCCCAGATCTCCAAATGACCTCCGACCTCCCACTTCCTCCTTCCTGTTGGACAGACTGCTGTCTCCTTTCGAGATCCTGTAGGTGCACCAGCCACTGCAGAGCCCCCTTCCCTGCACTTTGTGTCCCTGGCTCAGGAGACCCTGATGGCCGGAGGCACAGGCCTGCCTGGATGAGGTCTTGGATTGGTTTGAGGCTCGGGGCAGAAGTTCTCTGATGCCTGGTAAACAAGAAGCAAACCTCAAGTCTCTGTCCTGGGAGTTCCCCAGAGGATTAGGGCCAGTTTCCCCAACTCACTATTGAGGCATTGCGAGTTAGAGTTGCTGAGACACTTGGGTTTCTTTTCCAACTTGCTGTGTGAGCCCAGGCAAATTCCTTACCCTCTCTGGGCTTCTAATTTTCTGACAATACAAGGAGGCTTGTGGCCAGAAAGGAGGTAAGGGGCACGGATGCTGTGTGGGTGGTATTGAGGGCACCTTTCAGAAGGGAGGCATGGGGGTGGGTGGGCTTCGGACCATGGCCCCATAGCGGTGCCACGGCCACACAGGCCGGGGAGGGGGCAAGATGGAATCAGAGGGAGCCACGCCCACTGGGGAGAAGAGTGCTAGTACCCAGCCCATGACACTACTAACCCGGTCCTTTCCAAAGCCCCATCCTTACCACCCTCTCTCCCACTGTCCTTCCTTCCTTTCCTTCCCTCACGCCCAACAGCCAGCGCATCTCCCAGTCCCATGGCATTTGCTCCCCTAATTCTGTCTCCCATTCCTCACCCCCAGTTCCTCCTGTCATTCCTTGCGCATGGCAGACGGGCGGGGCCACCCTTGCAAAACCAAATCTGATTCTCTCTCTTTCTCTCTGTCACACAAACACACATGCACACACACACACACACACACACACGTGCTGAAAAAACACTTTAGTATCTTCTCATTACTCCAACGATAATGACATGATTCTTTGGCAGAAGAGAACAGGTTTTTGGAGGCACTTCTTTTTTAAAGTCTGTGCTGTTTGGCATTTCTGGGCTGCTGGCTTATTTGGCTCCATGTCTCGGATAGATGAACAAAGAGAAAACCCAAGGGACTCACCACTGTGTCATTCCTTGGGTTCCAAGGCCTTCTCCTCTCCACTGTTCAGAGTCTTCTTTGTTTAGACACATGCGCATGGCGTTTAGCTGTCTTTAGTGGGAGGACTAGGGGAAAGGGCACCCACTCCATCTTCCCAAGGCAGTCTCCAGGATGTGATCTTGTACGTGGTCCTGTGCCATGCATGTTGTCCTTCCTCCAGCCTCAGACTCAGTGCCTCCTTTCCTGGCCCCACTTGGTCTGCTCTCTTTCGATTCTGTGGGTGCGCGGTGCTTCTTCCTCTTACCAGGCCTTTGTGCATGCGGTTCCCTCTGCCTGGGACACGCTTCCCTCCTGTTCACTCAGTCAGCTCCTCAGCCTTGAGCTTTCTGTCCAGACATCACTTCCTCAAGAGGGCTCCTGCGACTTGTCACAGGTCATGTCTGCATTGTGATCTCTTATCACACAGTGTTTTTCGCAAACATGGATATGAACATTTGTGTCTCTCTTGGTTTGATCAGTGCTGGCCTCCCTCCCTGGGCCATAGCTTTGTGAGGGCCAAGACCATGCCTATGGTGCTCCTGGTCATCTAAGGCCACAAGCAGGGCCAGGGGGTGGAGTGGAAAATGCTCTGGGCTGGGCATCAGACACCTGGGGTACTGTTAGCTTTGCATGTGTGGGGCGTATTCCCACCCCATCCTGGGCTTCAGTCTCCCACCGGTAAAATGTGACGTTGTCACTAGAAGGCCTTGGGGGACTTTCCAGCTCAGAAACTCTTGCATCTCTGGGAAAAGTAGTGGAGGTCTGTTGTTCCAGCCCGTGAGGCCCTTTCCGTGGTGTTCCTGCGACTGCCACGTGGTGGCGCCAGAGGCCTCTCTCTGCTGCCCCTGGACCCGTGCTGCCCCTAGCGGTCCCCACTGGCCACATGCGGCCAGAGAGCATTTAAAATGTGGCTCCTTGTGTTGAGATACACTGTCAGTGTAGAATATTCACTGGATTTCAAACACTTAGTAGACAAAAGTGTAAAACAGCTCATTAACTCTTTTTTATATTGAATATCTACCGACCTATTTGAGGTCTATTGGGTTAAATAAATTAACTTCACGTGTTTCTCTTTACTTTTTAAAATGTGGTTACTAGGCAATTTCAAATGACATGTGTGATTCCCATCATATTTCTATGGGACAGCGCCGCTGGCTAACTCCTGGACTCCCCTATGGATGCTCCCACAGGGCAACTCTCCAGCCGTAAAATGGAAAGTAGTTTCTGCTTAGGAGTCAGCCCATAGCTAAGCTGCAGGTGTTCTCTCCTGAAGGGCTCAGAACTCCATCAAGCAGGCTGAATTAGCCGTCTTTTACAGCTGAGGAAACTGAGGTCCAGAGATGGGTAAATTGCTCCAGACTACAGAGCAGGGAATATCGAACCAGTCCTCATCACCCCACTGCACTGAGAAGCACAAGACACACCCGCATTGCTCATGTCACCTCCACATCCCACATGTGGGACACTTTCTAAGCAATGGACAGGAGTCCAGATGTGGAAGAGGACATGCTGTTTATTAGACATTTACTATATATCACACAGTGTGATGGGTACAGCGAGGATGTGATAGAGTATCAGGTGAACTCAGATCTGCTTATAGAAAGTGCTGTGTGTTTTCCTCTTTACTCCGCTTGCACCCAGTATTCTTTAGGAATCTTTGAGTTGCTGGTAACAAAATCTCAAAATTTTTTGGTTCATGTAACTGCAAAGTCTGGGGCTCGCTCTGGGTGGTGTCAGGCATGGCTGGATCCAGGAGCTCTGTCTTTTCCTATTTCTCATCTCTCCTCCCCTATGTGTAGGTATCTGTAAGACACCTACCAGCAGCTCCCGGCTTGCTTCCCACCCAACCCCAGAGGAAAGATGGCTCCTCCTTCCTACATTTTCAAGAACCAAAACTAAAACCTTGGTATTGTACCTCATGGGCATGCCTTGGGTCATGTGCCCGTCCCTGAACCAGTTCATCAGGGTCAGAGGAATCAAATGGATTGATGGGTCCAGCCTGCTCTGTGTTTGCTCCTGGAAGGGAGGGATGTGAGTCAGTCTCAGCCCCTGAACACACATACTGAGATTGGAGAGTATTCCCCAGGGGAAATCGGGATGCTTTACCGCAACAGGGACTGGACACTGGGCAGGCACAAACGTCAGATGGCCGCTACGTTTCCAAGCACCTCATTCCCGACTCTGGGTTGTGGTGGTAAAACATCTATGCCTAGAGTCTTTAGGCTCCTCCATGACGTCTCCTCAGTGTGTCTCAGTGAATCTCCTGACTCCTCCGTGACGTCTGTCACTCCTGCATTGCTGTCCACCCCCCCTCCGGCAGGTACAGCAGAGAGGGACACCATCTGTGAGGAGCCCTCCCCAGTGACCAGCCCTGACTGCAGCACCAGCCCCGAAGCCAGCCAGGCGCCCGCCAGGTGACTCCCTCTCCCCATCCAGCTGAACTTGGCTGTCCCGGCCCACAGGATGCCCGGAGCCCAGCTGGCTGTGGTGTGGGTGGGGTTCAGCCCACGGTGTCAGGATTCCAGGGTGCCTCTCTGTCAAGCCCACAAGCCATTTGAGGCCCCACCGTGTGCTCAGTCTTCCCTAAGCACGTGAGAGAAGAGCCTAGAAATCACAGTCCTTGCTCCCAGGAGCTGACAGTGGGGCTGCCAGAGGCTGTGGGCAGAGGGTCTGGGGGCCCCCTTCTCTGCGGAGATGGTTGCCCTTGAGAACAGACCTCCATTTGCCCCCTCAGGAGAATTGGCAGTGCCATTTCTGGCTTCTCTCTCGGCAGCAGGCCCCCCCAGGCCAGGCCCCTGGGGACTTCCTCGGCAAGCTCCAAGGCCAGGACCACGCTTCCTGGAGGGGGTGCTTCCCTCACCCTGGAAAATGATTCCAAAATGACCAGGGCCCCCAGCTCTCCCTCCTCGGTGCGGAAGCCCAGTCCCGATCTGGGTGAGTTCTCCAGAGAAGCTGTGGGGTGGTTCCCAGGGCAACAGCGTGTCGTTGGCGGGCGACCCCTGTGGGGTGGTCCAGGCCGGGGGGCGGTGGTGGGGGGACCCTGGGCTGCAGTCTTTCCCGGTCCGGGGAGAAGAGGGTCTCCAGGTCTCTGGAGGCTGAAGGCGCGAGGGCCAGAGTAGATCATGGAAGAAGTCATCTGTTTGACAACTTGAGTGCCTCCTAAGTGCAACACGGAGGTGCTTGCCAGGGAGCAGGTGTTGATCTGATGCCCTCCTGGTTCCCACGGCAACGGACAGGGCCCTCAGTTTGCTCCTGCTTATGACTGACTAGCCTTTCATGGTGGCTCACTTTTATCCAGTAATCTTTGGATATTTGGGTTGTTTCCTCTTTTTGGCTGTAATGAAAAACAAGTCTTTGTGTGAATGTATGTTTTCATTTCTCTGGGGTTTGTTTGTCTTTTTAGTTGACTTCTTAATAGGACTTCTTACAATTCTGGGTTTGAGCCCTTCATCCCACGTGGTGTGCAGAAGACCTCCTCCCACCTGGTGGCTTGCCTTCTCATTCTCTTTATGGTGTCTTTGCTAAAGAGATGTTGTTTTTTAATTTTATTTTTAAAAAAGATTTATTTATTAGAGTGCGTGTGCATGTGCCTGTGTGCACATGTGTGAGCAAGGGGAGAGTGAGAGAATCCTCAAGCAGACTCCCCGTGGAGCGCAGAGCCTGATGTGGGGCTTCATCCCAGGACCCTGAGATCATGATCTGAGCTGAAATCAGGAGTCCGACACTCAGCTGACTGAGCCACCCAGGCGCCCCTAGAGAGATGTTTCTAAATTTTAATGTAGTCATGGGTGCCTGGGTGGCTCAGTCAGTTAAGCATCTGCCTTCAGGTCAGGTCATGATCCTGGGGTCCTGGGATCGAGTCCCTCATCGGGCTCCTTGCTCAGCGGGGAGCCTGCTTCTCCCTCTGCCTGCCACTCCCCCTGTTGTGCTCTGTCTCTCTCTCTGAAAAAGGAATAAATAAAATCTAAAAAAAAAAAAAAAGATTGCAGTTTAGAAATAGCCAGATACATTTCTTCTCTTTCTGGGCTTCAGGACTCCCTCTGAAACATTGATCTGATACGTGTGGAGTTTGGGAGCTGGCCATGGAGCTGGAGGTGGCGATTGGGTGCGGAGGTGGGGGCCTCTGCCAAGGTGGCCCGGCCTGGAGCTTCTCTGCTTCCTTCCCCAGGGCTGACCTCACAGCAGCTGTGCACACAGGGGTCATCGGACTGTGGGAAGCAGTGTGACCCCGACTACTACCTGGACAAGGACGGCCGCTGCAAGGCCTGTGTGACCTGTTCTGGAGGTAAGGGCCTCATCGTCCCCTTCAGGGGCTCCTTCCTGGGAGCAGGGTGTCTTAGCCGAGAATCTGGGGCTGGGGGACCCTGAGTTCATTCTGGGACTGCTCAGCCTTCAGGAGCCTAGCTCACCTCGCTGGTGTCTCTGAGCAGTTGGCCTTTACTGAGTCCCATTCTTATTCTGGGGTGTTGATGGGGGTGACCCTTTCTCAGAGAGCTTCCATTTGCTCACACTTGCAAGGAAACATTCGTTATTATCTACCTGTTCCAAGCTCGTCTCGTTATTTTTGGTAGCTGTCTTCTAGTGTGTGGATTATGATTGTCCCCATTGTACAGAGAACACTGAGGCCTTACAAAGGCCACAGGCCCTCAAGAGCAGCAGGGCCACAGTTTAGACTTGGAGGTTCTGGGTGCTGGTCAGTCACTGCACTGTCCTTAGAGCATGCTCAGGACGGGCACTCACTGGGTGACTGCTGTGTACATGACCCGCTCAGCACAGCCTCCCAGCACCACCAGCTGCCCCCCCGGTGTCCATGAGAGCCGCGCAGGGCAGGGGAAGCTGCCCAGGCCCCGGACTGCCGTGGCTGGGTGCGGCCCCAGCCCCCTCACAGAGGGGCAGGGTGAGTGCGATTATGTCTCCTTGTCCAAGGTTTCTTTCACACCCTGGCTGAAGTCAAGGGAGGCCAAAAGAGGAAAGAACACTGTTCCAGTTACTAAGGCCACATAGCAAGTTTTCTCAAAATGTGGTGGCAAAAAACAAAGCACTCATTGTACTCATGAATTCCGTGGGTCAGAATTCAGACAGGACACTGAGGGGATGGCTGGTCTCTGCTTCACGATGTCTGCGGTTTCAGCTGGAAAATGTGAAGGCTGGAGGCGGGAATCATCTGAAAGCATTTTCATTCATGGGTCTGGGGTTGGTGCCAACTGCTGGCTGGGGCCTCAGTTGCCCTCCGCGTTGGCCTCTGGGTGGCTAACTTGGGGGCTTCCTCAAGGCCTGGTGGCCGGATTCCAAGGATGGGGCAGGGGTGGGGACAAGTCCTATCCCTTCTGCTGACCTTTCCTTGGATGTCACATGGCGTAACTTCCGCCAGTTTCTACCTCTTGAGGCAGTCACAGATCCCAATAGAGTCAACGGTAGGAGAAGAAAGTGAACTTCTCGACGGGTAAGTGGCAGAGGCCTGGAAGAGCAGATGGGGCCAGAAATACTGCTCTGGCCATTTTTGGAAAAAATATAATCTGTCATAGCCACCATGACAGAGAGAGAAACAAGAGGTGGCTCTGCGTCTGAGAATTCCTTCAGCTCTAAGGATGAAAGCCCTGTGAAGCAGTGGGGTGGAAAACAGGGGCCAAGAGCACAGACTCTGGAACCCAAGAGCCTGGGTTCGAACCTTGGCTCTACCAGTTTGCAGCTTATAAACACAAGCAAGTTTCTTAACGTCTCTGTGCCTCAGTTTCCTCATCTGCATTGGGCATAATAATAGTACTCAGAGAGCTGTTGCAGGAATTAAATAGGTTAAACTAGGTTAATCTGGGCAGAATGCTGAGAATAGGACCCCCACGCACTCGATGGGATTACTGCTGCCTTGCTTGCACTCAATGATATTTTTTTAAAAAGATTTTATTTATTTATTTTGAGAGAGAGAGTGTGCACGTGGGGGTGAGGGGGGGGAGAAGGAGAGGGAGGGAATTTCAAGCAGACTCCTCACTGAGTGCAGATTCCCCACGCGGGGCTCGATCTCACAACCCTGAGATCGTGACCAAGAGTCGGATGCTTAACTGACTGAGCCACCCAGGGCCCCCCCCCCCACTCAATGATATTAATACTGCCTAGCACACAATCAATGATATTAAAAGCTATAATCGTGATAATAGCTGTCACTGTCCCAAGTCATCTCTCTCACTGCTGAGCTCACTCTTGCCATCCACACAAATTCTCCAAATCCTCCCCAATGCCCACTCTGTCTAGAGGTTTCAGGAAGAGACTGTGAGGTTCTTTATCATTTGAGGTCTCTTAAGTATCCTGTTGATTGAGAAAAGTCCTCATGAGCAAGTCACATTAATCTACTAAGGCGGTCATTCTATTTTCACCCATTTAGAGCACATGAAGTGTTCCCAAGCAAATGTAAATGCATTATCGCATGCTTTCTTTTACAAAACCTCTAACATTTTATTTTTTTATTTTTGGAAAAAAAAAACCCTTTTTATCATTGAAAATTTCTTTGTTTTTAAGATTTTATTCATTTATTTGAGAGAGAGAGCATGAGTCGGGGGGGATGAGCAGAGGGAGAAGCAGACTCGCTGCTGAGCATGGAGCCTGACCCGGGGCTCCATCCCAGGATCCCAAGATCGTGACCTGAGCTGAAGGCAGACACTTAACCCACTGAGCCACCCAGGCGCTCCATCATTGAAAATTTCAAACATATTCAGAAGTAGAGTCAGGAATGGTTATGGACTTCACCCAGTTTTAAAGAATGATCAAGTCACGGCCAGTGTGGGTTCATCTATACCCATGCCTGCTTACCCTGTTCTATAAATTGTTTTCTTTTTAACAGCTTTATTGCGATAGGATTGGCATGCAGTGCAACACACGTGTTCAAAATGTGCCGTTTGATACATTTTGACATAGTGTGAGGCTGTGAAACCGTCCCCGCAATCAAGGAAAATGATTTCCCCAGAAAGTTTCTTCGTGTTCCTTATCCTCCCTCCCACCATTGCTCACCTTGCTTGCATTCCCAGGCCATCATTCTGCTTTCTGTCACTGCGGAAGATTTTGCATTTTCTAGCATCTTCTGTGAACATAATCATATAGTACATATTCTTTTTTTTTTTTTTTTCCTACCTTCCTCCACTCAGCCTATTGTGAGTGTGCCAAAAGATCTGCTCAACAGAATAGTCACATGAGTGTTTGCTTCCAGGCAGATGCTTCTCTGCTCTCCTGGGGGGTCTCTGGACCCCCTGCCCTTGCCATCCCAGATCCTTCCTCATGACCCTTCTCTGTGTTCCTTTGAAGACCTGATGGAGAAGGCGCCGTGCACGTGGAACTCCTCTCGAGTCTGCGAATGTCGATCTGGCATGTCCTGTGCCACATCAGCCACCAACTCCTGTGCCCGCTGTATCCCCCACTCCGTCTGCCCACCAGGGATGGTCACCAAACCCCAGGGTAAGCTGTCTGCACCCCCAACCAAGGGGCTGAAATCTGTGCCTCTGCAGCTGAACTTCTCTCCACCCCCAACTGGGCAAATGACCTTCAACCTTAGTTGTTAACTAGGTCAGGTTTGGGCTTTGGTTTTGTTTAGATAGTTAGATCTGGTAAGTGGAATAAAATCTAGATCTGGGGGTGCCTGGCTGGCTCAGTTGGAAGAGCATGTGACTCTTGATTGTGAGTTCGAGCCCCACGTTGAGATTACCAAAAAAAAAAAAAAAAAAAAAACCTTGAAAAAATCTAGATTTGGCATTTTGGTAAGACTTTTTTTTTTTAAGATTTTATTTATTTGACAGAGAGGGAGAGAGAGAGTACAAGCAGGTGGAGTGGCAGGCAGAAGGAGAGGGAGAAGGAGGCTCCCTGCTGAGTGGAGAGCCGGATGCGGGGCTCAATCCCAGGACCCTGGGATCATGACCTGAGCCACCCAGGCGCCCCTTGGTAAGAGATTCTGATGATTTTTAAAAAATTCTTCCTTCTGAAATTGTTTGGCTGGTAAAATCTTCACTTATTTGAAAGGCTGTTTCATTGAGTCAAGATAGAGCAATATGAGATTTTTGAAGTCGGTTCCAACTCAAGATGGTAGACACTTGGGGCACCTGGCTGACTCAGTCAGTAGAGTGTGCAACTCGTGATCTTCGGGTGGTGAATTTGAACCCCATGTTGGGCATAGAGTTTACTTAAATAAAAAAACAACAAGCGAAAACAAAGAAAAAAAAAGATGGTAGACATTTGCCAGAGTGCAGAAAAATATAAACTCTTGACGGTGGGGGGAAAAAAAGGTTAATCAACAGACAAGAGATTTCAACAAATTTCTAGAAGGTAGAAAACAGATGGGAGGGTGGTGACAAATGAAACAAGGGGGAGGAAAGCTCGCCCCAGAATTCACTCCATGAGTGCTGCAGGAAAAGTGAGAGGTACCTTGCTTGTAAGATCCCCACGGAGGCTCTGGGCTCAGAGCAGGCAAGTAAAAGGAAAGATGGGCGTGAAGTGGAGATGGATGGAACAGTGCAGTGGGGTGCGACTTCCTCTTGAAAATAAAAATTAGAAACTTGAGACAGTGGTACACCATGGACACGAGCAGTTGGAACAGATGGAGCTTGAGTTTTCATCCTCTGGTGAAAATCATCAACTTTTTGGCTGAAGACACTGAAGGAGCATTTGGGGAAACAGGGCTGCTGGTGTGGTATTACCACCCTGTGTAAAGCCCTCTTCGGCTGTGTGTTTCTGAGTGTAGCCTGTTGATAGGCTACCCCTGCTAACTCACCCTGAAGTGAAGACTGCCGGCCCCCACTCCCCACCGTGGGCCCAGAGTTCCCAGACGGCCCTCCTCCTCAGGGAAGAGACCTGCTGTGGAAAGGCCATGCTAGCCCCACAGCAGAGGAACCCCCCCCAGCTACTGGAATATTCAGCAGAGTCCTTTTAAATAATGAGTGAGCAGTAAAGCTATTCAGACTGTTAAGGAAAACCAGCTGCATGATGGAGAATAACAAGATACATTAACAGAAAACTAACTGTGGGTGAAGCAATAGAAATGGCTTCAGGAAGAGGAATAGATGTTTAAAATTTTAAATTAGCGTCCACAGAAGAATTCAAGAAGTTGTCACATCCATAAAGAGAGAACAGAATGCCGTGAAAAAGAAACAGTAAGAGAGAAGAGGACGAAAAAAGGCTTTTGGAAAGTGTGCTTGTTACCAAGTATTGCCTCTCACCTCTCAATTCACCTTTAGTACCTGCTGTGCAGTGAAGTATGGGACTCTTCACGCATTTCTCCTAGTGAACATGATAAGCTGTGCCAGAGGGCACTGGGGAGCCATTGTAGGAAGAAGGAGGCTTCTCTTGGCTGCATCTGCTTCTTGTTCTTGCTGTGTCCTCTGTCAGCAGAGCACATGGGTGGGGACATCTGGTTGTGCCCTGCCCCAGTCATGCTCCCAGAGTAGACAGTCCCTGGGCAGCCTCACAGCCCCAGCCTGGGTCTGGTGACCACCTTGGCGTGACCCTCCCAACGGGACTCTGGTGTACTCCAGGCCTCATGTCAGCAGAAGTGCCGTAATTCCCTCTGTGCACGCCTACCCCAAGCCTTGGGTCTTCTGTATTCCCATCGCTTACGGCCCTCTTGACCTGGTCCCTGAGTGCTCCGGGCCTTGTACCCACAGTGATGCCCCAACTCTCCTTGCATACTTGACCTGAAAAATATGAGACTTCAGATGGACCTACCAAGAGCAAGCAGGATGAATGAGATTACTCATACCTAGACACAATAGATGTATTTATTTACCCATTCACTAGTTGACAGACATTTGGGTTATTTCCAGTTTGGAGCAGTTATGAATAACAAACATTCTTGTACAACTCTGTGTAAACATATATTTTCGTCTCTCACGAGTAAATACCTAGGAGATGGATGACTAGATCACTGTGCTCGCCACACAGAATGTCTTTGAGGGCCAATTCAAAGCCTGTCACCACCCGTGATCTGATCTTACCCACCTAGTTTTATGGATGGAGAGGACCAGAGCTAGAACTGGAACACAAGGATCCTGAGTTCCAGCCTGGAGTACTCTCTACCAACCACATCAGCTCCTTCTTAGTTCTGAACCTAGAATTTTCTATTCGGTTAAGATACAATTAAGTTTGAAAGCAGAAAAAAAAAAAAACAAAACCATTTTCAGACATAAAAGGGCAGAAAGATTTTCCCTCATGTGTCCTCTCTTAGAAAGTTACTTGAAGATGTTATTTGGCTAAATGAGGGGCTCAAAACAAAAGAAAACAAAAGCCATGACTCTAGAAAACAGTGATTCTATCCCAGGAGAGCAGGGAAGTCCCAGTATGACAGCTGTATTGCAGACCAGTTGAGACAGATAAGAACAGAAAAATGAAGGAGGGCTCCAGTGAATTGTTTTGTCTGCAGGAATGAAAGAAAGAATTTCAGTAAACTTCATGAGTAGTATGTTTGAAAAACTTGATGATATGGTAAAGGCACATTATTCTTTTCTCAACAAGAAAATGAAAGGCAGTTAAGAATTCTAGGGAAAATAAAAAGCTGACAAGAAATTTACACTCCAGATACGAAGATGAAAATGTCATCTGATTTTAAGCACTTGTTGGATGCACTAAAAGAGAATCCATTTGACCTTGATGCTAAGATCATTCTCCTTCAAATGGCCCGAGGATCAGGTAAACGTTGGATTTAAAGAGAAATATTTCAGTCCGGTAAATAATATCCTTTTTAGTTCTAAATTGGGAGTAAGAATGGGTAGTTTCTTTTTTTTTTTTTTTTCCTCTTTCAGTGGGCCCTTACCAGAGAACACAGGCAGACTAAGTAGGGGCTAAACAATACCTTCTGCTCACCTCCGGATTTAAAGGAGGAGGAAAAGGGGAGGGTCACTACACCAGGGAGGAAGGAGGAAGGCTACAGGTAAGGTATGATACACATGGAGAGGTTGAGAGGCACCCAAGGAGCACTGGGTCCATCTTCTCCACTTAGAGAAGGACAGCAGTACTTTTTTTTTTTTTTTTTTAAGGTTTTATTTATTTGAGAAAGATAGTGAAAGAAAGCATGAGTGGGGATTGGGGGAGGGACAGAGAGAGAGGGACAAGCAGACTCCCCACTAAGCAGGGAGCCCGACGTGGGGCTCGATCCAGGACCCCAGGATCATGAGCTGAACCGAAGGCAGAGGCTTAACCAACTGAGCCACCCAGGCGCCCCAGGACAGCAGTTCTGTTGCTGGATTCCAGCAGGTGTTTCAGTGGGAGCTCAGACTGAGGCTGCCTTAGAGAGAGGCCAGAGGGCTTTCCCCTCATGGTGCTACGCGGGGGTAGCCACGGTGATATATTTCAACACAGGAACTCCTCCAGTCCTCTCAAAGTCAACTCTTGTTGAAACCAATGACATTTTAAACTTAATCAAATACTGATTTGCAAATAAATAGAAATTATCATAGCAAATTGTATCATCTTCCTCATAGCTTAAAGCCTGCAGGCTTCAACTAATTCAGGTAATAGTCTGGTGACCCTGAGGAAAGACATAGCATCTATTTGGAGACCGCCCCCCCCCCAAAGGGGAGAGTTCCTCAGGACACTACTAATCCAAGAAGAAAATTAATCCTTGCTTCACTTTCTCTTCAAAGTGTTTCAGGAAGAATCTGAGAAGCACCATGAAAGCTTTTCAGAAGGGAAAGGAGTGTGGGTGGGGGATCTGCTTTGCACCACCACATCAGAGGAGGGGTGCTACCACCAGGGACATGGGGGTAGAGAGGGATCGTGGCTGGGCATGACCTACTTCAAATGTGGGCCAGTTTTCTTAACCCTAGAAAAGCAGTTAATTGTAAACTTGTAAGACTGTGCTCAGTCCCCGGGCAGGAGGTGGCGTGGTCCAGTGGAGTGTGCTGTGGGCTGGAACCCAGGAGTCCTGCCTTCTGGCTCTAGGTCTGGCGCTGTGGTTCTCTCCCATCTGTAAAAAGAGTGGCTGGGTCAGATCAGAGGAGACCATCTTTGAATGGGTCGTCAGAGGCATTCTGTCTGGTCAGCACAGGCTTCCCCCTCCGAAGTGTCAAGAGGAATGAAATTATATGTCCTCACAAAGACTTGTACAAGCACATTCAGAGCTGCCTTATTTATAACAGCTTCAAACTGGAAACAACCCTGATGTCCATCAACTGGTGAATGGATAAATAAATGGTGGTACATCTCTACAATGGAAGACTACTCTGTGCAACATAAGTGAATTTCAGAAATACTATGCTGAGAGAAAGAAGCCAGACCCCAGAAAGTACTTACTGCCTGAATCTGTCTAATGAAATTCTAGAACAGGCCCACTAATCTATAGTGACATAAAGTAGACCAGTGGTTGCCTGAATATGGGAGGAGGATTTACGGCAGAAGGTTACGAGGGAACTTTCTGGGATGGTGGGAATGTTCTAGATCTTGAATGAAGGTACAGTTACATGGAAGGATACATTCTTCAAAACCCATCAAACAGTATAACTGAGGGGACATTTTCTTCTATATAAATTATGCCTTAATAAAGTTGATTTCAAAAGAAAGGAACTTTCAAAAAATTGAGGCTGTGTTTAAATATCAGGAGATAGTATTTACATTTATTTATTTATATGTATTTATTAGGTTTCTCTTTTACATAAAATCAGAAAGGCTAGAGCCACCAAGCCACCTTCCTGTGAGATCACAGTTGGCTGGAGATGAGGAGCAGCTTTTCCATTTTCATCTTTCGAGACACAGGCCTGACCGTCTCAGCCAGCTCTAGCTGCAGGCATAACACGTGGAAAGCAACGCTGACATGTCAGGGTTCAGCTCTCCTCCCCTGGTCAGCTGGGCCTTTGCTGTCTTGTCTGGGCTCACAGGTTTGGTTTGGGTTTGCTTCGAGTGTTTCTCATACTTCTGGGACCAGCAGGGACCACCACCTGGCAGAGCATCCTCTCCTTACAGCCGTGGTGGAAGTGCAGAAAGGCCCAGGCTGGGAACAGGCACACTGTTCCTTCCATCCTGCTCCACTGACCATCCGAGTCACAGGGCCTTGGTGAGGCGGGGACACAGACACCTCCCCGCCTGAGGAGGGGGGCCGGGGGTGTAACCTACCGCACCGATCCCATTCCCTTGCTAATTAAGTCCTGGCTTTGGGGAGCAAGACCTAATTTTTAAGAACAGCTTTGTTGCAGTATGCTTGACATACCCCAGAACGTACTAGCTTTAAGTGTGTAATTCAATGATTGTAAAGACATTTACAAAGTTGTAAAACCATCACCATGATCTAAGAAACCTCATGCCTTTAGTAGTCAACCCCCGTATCCGTCCCCAGCTCATACAAGCACTGATCCTACTCTCTGTCCCTCTAGATGGACCTTTTCTGGACATTTCCAGAATATGGGCTCTGTGTCGGGTTTCTCTCACTGCACACGATACGTTTGAAGTTCATGCGTGCTGTAGCGTGTATAAGTGCATTGTTCCCTTTTATTGCCACACAGTATTCAGGTACAGGTATACTATGTTTTATTTATCCATTTACCAGTTGATGGACATTTGGGTTGTTTCCACTTTTTTGGCTACTATGAAGAATGCCGCTATGAACAATTGTGTACAACGGACCATCGTGCACACGTTTTAACATGGCTGCTCACCAGCCTCTCCCATGTGCTCACGCTCCTCCCTCCCCCACCTAGGGGCCACCCTGCCTTCGATTTCCTCTGCTTAGATAGCTCCCCCTCAAGACACCGCAGCAATGGCCCCTGACAGGGATCTTGTCTCTTTTGCTCACTGCTATGTCCCAGCTCCCAGGACAGTCCCTGATACATAGTAGGTGCTCAATAAAGAGTTGTTGCATGGAGGGAAGGAAAGAGGGAGAGAAGGAAAGAGGGTCAGGACACTAGCCTGAGTCTACCTGGCTGCCATGTCCTTCTGGCCTCACCATGCCGCCTCCCCTGGAAGTTACCAGTCCTGCTGGGTATGACTCCTTGACACCAACTCTAAGACCACTCCCTGCAGGTGCAGCTGAGAGGGATGCCACAGATGAGCTCCCTCCCTCCGAGGCCCGCCCTGAGTGCAGCACCAACCCAGAGGACAGCAAGACGCCCACCAGGTGACTCCCTGGCCCCTTTTGGGGGCAGCTGGGCTGGGGCTGGAGGTGGGGCCTGGGCTGGATCTCTGTGCCAAGTTCGCAAGTCATTTTGGAGGATGTGTGCCCGGCTCTGGGCTGGAACCACTGGGAATGGTTCCTGAGCACATGCTTCCCTTTCTCCATCTCCACCGTCAGTCTTACTTCTGGCTTCTCTCCTGGTAGTGCCCCTGCCCCTCTGGTCTCCTCGGCAGACCCCCAGATCAGTCAGGAGCATGGAGGGGGCATCACCCACGCCTGGGGAGACACCCCCATATCAACGAGCACACCCATCTCTTTCTCCTCCACGGCAAAGCCCATTCTGGTTTCAGGTAACTATTAGAGAGGAGCGTCTGCCTCCCAGAGGGCCGGGAGGAGGGAGGCTACTCCCTGGGCAGCAGCATCCACTGGGTGGGGGAGACCAGAGCTGACCCCAGGTTTCTGGCTTCTTGAGCTGGGGATGTGCCTCTGTCACTTGCTAGTGATTGTTCCTTGATTCTGGGCAGGGATTTTATTCACAGCTTCATCCCCGTGGCCCATAATTGCTACTCAGAAAATACTTGGAGAACGAAGACATGACCTTGACTAGTTGCTTAATTCCTTTGAGCCTCAGTTTTGTCGCACGGACCACGCAGGGCAGTAAGCAGTGGGGTATACGTAGCTAGCACCTTACGGGGCTCCTTGGAGGCATTCTAAGGTAGGCTTCGGTTTGGGGCTTGCAGTTCTAGTGTCAAACACGAGGTGGCGGCAGTCCTCCAGCCAGCCGACCTCAAAGCGCAGCCCTGGACTTGCAGCATCAGCAACTTGTTAGAAGAGCAAATTCAGGGCTGCACCCCAGCCCCACTGAACCACGGTCTGTATTGGAACATGGTCCCGGGAGATCTGCATGCATGTTAAAGTTTGAGAAGCACATACATGGCACCTACTACTTTTTAACACCTGAACGTGGACTTAACAGTGATTGGATACACCATCTTCATAAGGGACAAAGGAAAAAAAGGAACAAGTTAAGTCCTGAGTTAAGTTGTAAAAGAGTATACCCACATAGCGGTTAAGTGTGTGGGCGCTGGAGCCGCCCGGCCTGGCCTGGCCCAAGCCGTGATTCTTGCGGTTTACCCTTTGCCATTTTAGTGAGTTACTTAATCTTCGCCAGCCTCAGTTTCCCTCGTTTGTAAAAGGAGATGGTAATAGTGCCTACGTGATATTCAGGGAACAGGTGCTGAGTGGGTGTATGTGCAGAGAAGACCCCGTGCCTGCCCATCTGGAGGGGAGCTGGGAATCCTATCAGACTCCCCACTTCACCCTCCTCGCTGCTCCCCCCCCCCCCCGCCGACTCCAGCCACACTGAATGTGCTGCCGGCTGCCCCGGGGCCCGCACTTGGCATAGGCCCTCCCCCACGGCCCCCAGACCATGTTCTTTTGGACCTCAGTTCCTTCCTCTGACTCCTCGACTCCTCAATTTCTCACCATCTAGAAATGGTTTGTTTCTGTGAACCGTTTAGCTGCCCTGATGGGCCCCCTCGAGCCAGGGGAGGGAGGGCAGGTGGATAAGGGCTGCACCAGGGAGGCAGAGGGTCTGGGTCTCAGTTCCTGCTTGGGGAAGGACCGGGTCCTGCCAGCCCCGATGGTGTCTGTGTCCCAGGAGAAGGAGATCATAGTCCGGGGTGAGGACCACGTGGGGAGGTTGCAGCGGGGGCCCCTGGCGCACTGCTGTGGTGTAGACTTCAGAGCCCCCGAGCGTCAGGGCAGAGGGTGCAGGGCTGCCTCTGTGTTCCAGGGCCGGTGCTCTTCTGGACGGTGCTGCTGCTGGTGGTGGTCCTGGGCTCCGTGTCCTTCCTCCTGTGCCACCGGAGGGCCTGCAGGAAGTGGATTCAGCAGAGTGAGTGGATGTGTCCCTGGGGCCTGGGGGAGGGCAGGTGCCCCGCGCTGGGCTGGCCGGGTCTCTGCGCTGCCCTCGGAGGCCCTCGGAGGCTCTCCAGCTAACTCCTCTGTCGTTCCAGAGCTCCACCTCTGCTACCCTGTCCAGACCTTCCGGCCCAAGCTGGAGCCCGTGGGTAAGTGTCCACATGTCCAGAGGGGGCTACTCGGGCCCCATGGACACAGCAGCTCGAGGCCCTGGGTCTGGGGCTCCCTCTGTGCACAGGCTCATCTGTAACAGGAATGCAGTGTGGGTGGGACCCGTCCTCCACGGTCCTTTGCAGCGTTCAGATGGCGGGCTGGCAGGAAGGTTTAAGATCCATCTTGTCTCTCATTCTTTCCTCCACAGTGCCCACCCCCTGGAGAGGCATTCTGAATGCCTTCCCTTCCTTCCTGGCCTCCCTACCCCTTCCTTCCTCCCCATTGCTCTGCACCCCTTCTGCTGGCAGCGAGGGGCATAGGGGTCTGTAGGGCAGGCTGATAGGGCCGGAATCCTGGTTCTGCCACTTACAAGCTGTGTGGCCCCGGTGAGTTTCTTTGTTCCTCTGTGCCTCAGTTTCCTCACTGTAAAAGGGGACGGTGGGGCCCACTTCAGACGGTGTGTGGTGCAGGAGGTGGTTGCTGTTGGCCGACGGGCCGGCCTGTGTTGGGGGCCTTTTTCCTCACCAGGAATCTCAGGGCCTTCTGATATCTACGCTGTTCTGAAGCGCTCCCTGGCCCTGGCTCTCTGATCCCGGCCCAGCTTCCAGGCCAACTTTTGCAGACCACCTGTCAGAGCCCCTGACCTACTTCCAGCCCTCACCTGGTTGTGTATGTGTGTGTGTGTGTATGTGTGCATGTGCGTGTGTGTGTGTGTGTGTGTGTGTGTGCCTTTTCTCCCCTATGCAGCCATTTGCAGGCAGGGCAAGGTCTTCGTCAGCACTCCATAAGCACTGACTGAGCACCTACTGTGTGCTGGGCCCTGACCACAGGGGAAGGAGTGAACGCGAATTTCTGAGCTTCCCTTTCTGGTTTCAAGGCAGGCTCCCATAGAGGGTCTCACCAACCTGGGAACCCCAAGGGAGGTGGGTGATGATCTGTCTCCATTCCATAAGGAGTCAAGGCTCAGAAAGGTGGATAGTTGGCCAGGGCCACACAACCGATGAGACTCAAGTCTCAGGCGCTGGTCCTTGAGGTTGCGGGCTTTGTTTGTGGAGGGCTCAGACCTGTCCCCTCCGCCTCCCTCCCCTCAAGCTTTGTCCACCTCCAGTGTCCACCCACGAGCCCAGGGGGCAGTCTTGGGCCAGGTCACAGCCCTCTTGCCCCCACCCCCCCGCTGTCTCCCCAGGACCCTCGGAGACCGTCACTGCAGCCCGCCTTTGGACTTGGGCACAAAACCTGTCCACTGAGGCCTGTTTTGAATTTGATGAGTTTCACAGCAGGTGCTTGTGCGCTCTTAGCAAGGGGGGTTTTTGTGTTTTGATAGTTTCAAGCCTGTTTCCATGAGCTGTCAGCCTTAATGTCTCATTGAAACCCATGTTTGCTTTCTTGACATTTTTCTAGTATTAGAATTTCCATTGCTGTCAGTTTATTTTTTTCTTCAAACCTTCGTGATGGCAGTTTTGCCACAGAGAAAAAGAGAGAGACAGAGAAAAAGAAAAAAAAAAGCACCTTCCCTTAAGAAGGCAGACCTACGAGAAACCAAGCCCTGAGACTCAGTGGCGGCCATCCTGTTTGGGGCTGTTTCTGGCCCTCTGGCTTCCGGCGGGTCCCTGGAGGGTCTGGGTTCCCAGGCCTGAGCTGGAGGGAAGGTGAGGCCAGGATAAGCATCCAGGGGTTCAGGATGAGAACGGATGGAGCGAGGTGGATGCCCTATTCCCTCCGGAGCAGTGGGTGCTGAAGGGGCAAAGGAGCTTTCATTCACGTGCTTGCTCATTCAAGTGTTCAGATCATCGTCCAAGTGGCTCTCTGCTGGGTGCAGAAACGGGTCCTCGCTCTCCCGAGCGTTCAGACCAGCATCAGTTGCTTCAAGGGACTAACGGCTGGCAGGGCGGGGATGCATGCCCCAGCCCTCCCTGTCCCGGAGCAACAACGCTTACCAGCCATCTCTTGAGTCGATTCGCCTTTATGGCCCGTGTCCTTGGTGGCAAGCTTTTGCAGAGGGCAGACGCACAGTGGACCGGGGAGGCACCTGCTGCTTTCATCCCCATTTCGCAGATGAGGAATCAGGAAGGTGGAGGAACTTGTTTAAGGCCACTTGGTTAATAACAACCTGGGGGTGGGAATCGTGCCTGGTTAAGAAACACTGACTAAAATTCTTCATTCTAATGGACACTAAAGTCCTTATCTGTTACTTCAGGCAGGTTTAAGTCGAAAAAAAATTTTTTTTGTTGTTTTGAAACAATTTCAAGCTTACAGGAGAGTCACAAGGACAGTACAACTTTTTGAGATGAGTTAGTGACTCAATGCCTTATCATCTCCACATACTTCAGTGCGTGGTCATACAAACAGGGGTGTATTTTTATACAATGTATAAAAATACGTGTCACTACACCATCAAAATCAGAATTCACACTGATGCGTTACCACCGGCGAATTCTCAGACCTCATTCAAGATCCTTTGTCCCAACCATGTCCTCTGCAGCAGAAGAATCCAGTTCAGGATTTCGTGTTGCATCTGGTTGTCACGTCTCTTGTCAGCCTGGCTCCGTTCCTGTCTTTTCTGTCATGTTTGTGCTCTTGCCACTTTTGAGCATTCCACCACTGACTTGGTGGGCATCCCTCCCCTTGGGTTTGCCTGGTGCGTCCTCATGGAGACCGGAGTCAGGTCGTGCTTCTTTGGTGGCGGGAAGATGCCAGGAGTGACGCTGAGCTTCTCTGGTGGCAGCCGTCCCGCCAGGTTCCAGCCGGTCAGTCCCTTTCCCAAGTCCCTCATTTGGCGTGAGCGCTCCCTGCCAGGCCGCTCCTGCACGAGGCTGTTCTTTTCTCCTTGGCAAACAGTAAGCACTTTCGGGGGAGGTACTGCGAAACTCTGTGAATAACCAGTTCCTCATCACACTTTCTTCTTCCTCTCTATTTATATCTGCATGGACTGGTGGCTTTCTATTTGATTCTCTTGCCATTGTTATTCTGATGTTCAGATTCAGTCCTTGAAGCTGGCCCCGGTGTCCTTCTGTCCCATCCTTCCCTGTTCTGAGCACTTCTTTAAGACGATCCCAACTTACCTGGTACTTCCCTGCCCTCACCCTGGAATCAGCGGCATCTCCCAGGAGCCGAGATCTGAATTAGGGGTGCCCATTGCCAAAGCCTGGCTGAGCCTCTGTGCCAGACTCCTTCCTCAGGTCTGTTCCGCTTCCCATGGCAGCCAGGCCCCTAGGCCAGATGGGGGCCGGGACTGAAAGGGGAGAGTGACTGGGAAGGACAGGACCGCAGCATCGGTGTCAGAACTCACGGGCTCGGCTGGAGTGGCCCTCACGGCAGCCCCTGGGAGAACATGTACTTGTCCCGGGGGGGGCCACCGATGCCTGGTGTGTCCCTGGACTCATGTCCTTGGGTGCCGGACACGTTTACGAGAAGATCTCGCAGTTACTCCCCAAAGTGAGGAAACCAATAAATGAAGACAGTGGACTGAAGCCACATTTTTAGGGGAAGCGCACTTAGGAAATCTGATCTCTGTACTCAGCACGATTTGTTCTGGGTCGTTAGCAAAGTACACATGTGGGTTGTGAGGCAGCTGCAGGCAGACATTGGTGCCTCTGGATTCTGCCTTTTTGCCTTTATGTTGTTTTATACTCGTTGCCAAGAGTCGGTATCAAATGCTGGTCTTCTCTTTGGTGCGATGAGCGCGGCGCCACGTTAATGTCCTGGGACCCCCCGCATGCTAGGCAGCCTCCTGGGCACTGTCTCTTTTTCACATTTAAATTTAAAAAAAATTTTCGACAGACTTCAATTTTTAGAACCATTTTAGATTTGTAGAATATTTGAAAAGATAGTTCAGAGAGTTCCCGTGTACCTCACACCCAGTTTCCTCCATTGTTAACAGCTTATGTTGGTGAATTTGTCATGATGAATGAGGCAATATTGACACATTACCATTAACTAAAACCCATACTCTGTTTAGATTTACTTAGGTGTTTGGTTTTTTTTTTAATAAGAGACTCTTTTTTTAAAAATTTATTTATTAGAGAGTGAAAGAAAGCTCCAGTGGGGGTTGGGGGAGGGGCAGAGAGAGAGGGACAAGCAGATTCCCCACTGAGCAGGGAGCCCAACGTGGGGCTCGATCCAAGGACCCTGGGATCGTGACCTGAGCCGAAGGCAGATGCTTAACCGACTGAGCCACCCAGGCGCCCCTGGGTTTACTTAGTTTGAGCCAATGTATTTTCTTACTGTTCCAGGCTTCCACCCAGGATACCATGTTACATTGAGTTTTCATGTCTGCTTGGGCTCCTCTGGACTTTTCTGACTTTCCTGTTTTTTTTTTTTTTTTTTTTTAAAGATTTTATGAGAATGAGAGAGAGAGAGAGAGCATGAGGGGGGGAGGGTCAGAGGGAGAAGCAGACTCCCTGCCGAGCAGGGAGCCCGATGC